CTTTTACCTTCATGATTCATATCTTCAAGGACAGTTTGTTTTAGTTTCGTATTTGATTCTGGTGCTACTATCGTTTCAACATTATTTCCTTCAGTTTGAGCCCATTTTTTAACAAAACCATCATTGAGAACAACAATAGCAACAAGACAACTTTCAAATGAATCACCATAAACAAAGATTTGAGAAATAAATCGACTACGAGCATAAACATCTTCGATTTTCTCTGGTGCCACATATTCACCTTGACTTAACTGAAACGTGAAAAAAACAAATATAAGAATCACAAAATATTATTTCGAAGAACTATCTACAATTACTCATTCTTTTGAGAGTGTATTACTTTAAATAATTACTAATACAAACCTTATACATATTTTTCTTTCGATCAATAATTCGCATTGTTTGATGTAGTGTCCATCGGCCAATATCACCTGTATGTAACCATCCTTGTTCATCGATTGCTTCACGAGTTTTAGCTTCATCTTTTAAGTAACCTTTAAACACGGCTGGACTACGAATACAAATTTCACCTACACCATCTTTTGCATAATATTCTTTTTCAGGTACATCAACTAATTTAATATGATTTAATGCTGTTGGAATACCTGTTTCACCTGATTCAATATCACTTGGTGTTTGAGAGCAGCCTATAACGCATTCTGTTTGACCATACATTTCAATGAATAAACAAGAAAATGCAGCTCGTGAAAATGCGCAAACTTCACGTGAAAGTGGTGCACTTGTTGAAATAACACGAGTAACTTTACCACCAAATGATTGTCGAATTCTATTAAAAATTATTTTATCCCAAATTGTATTTTGCGCAAAATTTCCACGTCGAATCATTGCTAATTTACTTGTTACAATCAATCGAAATAGAATACGTCCAAGTAAGCCTTTTTTACGAAACTCTGATCGAACTTTATCATATAATTTGTTAAGTAATCGAGGTACCATAGTGAGAAGGTTTGGTTGAAAATCATGAAAATCATCAGGTAGTTTATCAACTTTACCTTGCCAAAAACCAATTTCTCCACCTAGAAAATTAAAAAAACATGTTACCATAAATATAGATTGATATATTGATAATCATCATACCTAAATAGGTTACGCCAACAATTGTTCCACAACCAAACATGTGGGCTAAAGGCATATAATTTAAGACACGAGGAGTTTCCTTTGTTTTTAATGATTTCATTATATCAACCGCTATGACAAGACCAAATAATGCACACATAAAACTTTCATGTGTAATAACACAACCTATATTCAAAAGATGTTTAGCTTGTAAAATATAAATGAAAGAAATTATTATCTTTACCTTTTGGTTCTCCGGTACTTCCACTTGTATACATAATTACTGCTGTATCAGATGATTTCGGTGGTACAACTTTAGCTGGATTATTACGACCTATTTCTCTGATTTTATCAAGTGTAAGAAGATTTAATTTTTTTTCTTCTGCTAATTTAATTAATTCATCAGTGAGTTCAAGAACAGAAACAATCGTTTTTAATGCTAATGTACTATCTTTCCACTCAATTAAGTTTTTTACACGCTGTAAATTATCAGCAAATATTAATTCAACATCAGTTTGTCTTATAATAAATTTAACACCATCTTGACCAAGTGAATCATAGATACCAATTGGTATCATTGAATATGGCCAAGTTGAATAAAGACAAAATGCATAATCCATTGATGAAGAACCATAAATACCAACAAATGTTTCATTTGATGGTTTCAAACCAGTATGAATTATACCGCTACCAATTTCTTGAATTATTTGAAATACTTCTCTAAAATAATAGACATACACAATTCAGTTAGATTGTTGTAATTTTCTTACTTATGAGTATGAGATTTAAATGGTTGATTAGATGCTTGTCTAGTAGAAAATAATGGACGATCACCAGCTAATTTAAGACCATGTAAAATAGCTTCATATATTGTTTTTATACCAAATACTTTCGGATCTTGTAATTTCTCAGTGTAATCAGGATGTGCATATATATGTTCATTAGAATCAATTTCAACAGCACCTTTTGGTGATAATGGTTTTTTGAATAGAATTTGAAAGAATGAAAAACAATATTCAATTAAAATGCTGATAATTATTACTAATACAGTGATTATTACAACATACATAACTGAAGTCGTCGATACTATTAGATATAAATAACATATATTAAAAAAAATTTTATCTGATTAGTTAAATGAGCTCATATAACTGACACTTTTTATAGTCTATCGAATAATAATATAAAAAAAATGCTTTTATCTATTTAGGTTAGTGTACTAGGTAGATAACAAATATTTTCTTACCTAGTATACTATATAAAGATTATTTTTATTATTAACTATCCGATAGTGTAAGGCAGTTCTAATATTTCAATGCACAAATATTCACATACGGAAATAAACAGTAGAAGAGAGAGAAAAAACCAGCTGTTACACTCACTGAAAGAAACAGAAAGAAAGAAGTTAATAGGCCATTAAAACATAAAAAGAAAAAGAATATGTACCGTTTGACTAGGAATCATCGAAGACAAACATAACAAGGTTAAGTTACACGGTCTTTTATAGGGCAGGTTATAGATTACTACGGTCATAATCTGTCAACATACCCAGAAGGTTTTACGGATAGTACACCCATGCGATTTCGAATTGAATTAGATCGTTTATAAACTTTTTCAATTGAACCTGTAATACTCTTATCGTTATCTATTGAGAGTAATAAAACAGCACATAAATTAGTTTGAAAAACCTTGCTTTATATTATATAAAAAAATTCTTACAGTTGCAAGACAGAGTAGGATCAGATCATAGGTTACGAAAATATCGTATTCTATAGACTTTTAACTTTCGACTTATTTTACTAAAAACGTGTGATAATGTTTACTTTTTGGTATGTCGAATAAACATTTTCCTCATCGTAAGATGTAAGACGAATTTATATTACAATTCATTTATTTTGATAATACAAAAATTTTCTGATATTATTTACATTGTTAGTACAAAATATGAGTTGATATGAGATAACAATCATGAATGTCCCTGTAGCACATTCTTGTAAGGAAGTATCTTGTCTGTATCACATCAACAATATATCATGATAAGGTTAATTATGGTTACTAAACTCTTACAACTTATAGTTACTGTAGACAAAAGACATCCTATCGACACAGATATGTTTGTTTACTTAGTTAGCTTAATAACGCATAGAGAATATTTTAATTTTTGTCTCACCGTCTACTGATATATGATATTCACAGAAACTGTTAGAAGTAAAATAGTCATGGACAATATGTTACTTTTATATAATACTGTTTTTATACAGACGTATGAAACCTAATCGTTATAAAACTGTGAATATATTATTATTCGTTTTTTTATGTATGCATAAGGAACTAATATAAAAATTTACTTTATATGTATGAAAGAGAATTTTGTTTTTACTTACAAAATTTTTATATATGGATCTGCTTTATTCGCGAGTGTATGTCGGATATGTTTTCATGTATTTATTGATAGAATCAAAGGTATCTACTATGATGTTACAACTGAAAGAATAATATATTCACATGACTAGTAGACATGATAGCCTTGAGCCCTTTTTCTGTTCTGTTCTTCTTTCTTTCCTGACTTTGAATAAGAACTACTGTGGATTTATC